TCTTTGTTACATTACCCTTGATAAGATTAACTCTTTACAGGAGTAGAAAGTCTTTCTCTAGAGGAGCAGCTAGCGATTTTGAACTGCCAACACTGAGAAGCACAGCTCAACTCAAAACCGCTAGGCCACAAGGGCTACTGGGTAGTAGTTAAAGAGAAGGCAGAAGGCGGGAAGGGTTAGAGGAAACCTCCCAGTGAGGTCTCCACATTAGCTCAATTGGGCAGGGGAAACTTGTTATAGAGGTTTACCTGTGATTAGGGAAGTTGATACAATTTTTTCTCAAGGCATTAAAAAAAATTCAATGACAAATTGAAATGGTAAAGACTTTGACATTTTATTAAGAAACATTTTTATTTTAAATGTAATACAAAATTGCATATATAATATATATCTGTATAGTTATACACATACAAATGCTCACCTGCACATACACACATCAGAACCAATCCTTATTTCATTAAACTCCTAAATACAAAAGAGAATTCTATTTGAGCTTTTCTAAAAACATACTGTACATATAAAGCTGTCAGACAACCTGAAAAATAAAAATTGAGGGCATTTTGAGAAGAATCTAGGCAGCCCCCTACCCATCCATCCATACACACACACACACACACACACACACCCTTGCCACATGTAAACGGTACTTGGCAGACAACAGGAGGAGAATACACGGGGCAAAGGCAGGGAAGGGTTGCTACCATCACTGTTGCTAGCACACTATGCCTGACACCCACTCGGATGCATAGGGTATATAGGGTATGGCCTAGATTAATGATCACAAACCATCTCAGAATAAACAGAAAATTTGTGGTGGGGGAGGTGGGGAGTGGAGAGAGAAAAAGTGGCCCACCGATTAGAAATGACCTACTAAGTCCTAGTACCTGGGAAAGAATCAATGAAATGAAAACAACAATGGGGTCACAGAAGCAAAAGCTGTTGGTGGGCATAGGGACAGGAACCACAATTTCTTGCCATTAAAAGCCAAATTGCTACTGTAGAGTCTAGGCATGTTACCCCACCCCTCGATCTTAGCGAGGCTCAGAAAGGGCAGCACCAGAAGTTCAGAGCTATTGGATTCCAATTCACATCCTTCTTGTTCGTTCCTGGTCTCGTGTTGACTAAATTGGTGTAGGAAATAGGGTGCTAACTCAGAAGAGGGGGAAATTAGCCACATAAAATGGTAATAGTTAAGAGCCTAGCATAGGTGCTCTTGATATTAAATCCACTCCAAAGCTTTTCTGGCAGTACCAAGATGGAACTCTGCCTACAGGAGTGGGGAATAGCAGGCCATTTTCCAGTAACGCCTGACCAAGAAAAAGATTCCCACTCAATAATAAATTCCGCACAAGAGTTCATTTTATGCCATGAATCTTCTAGCTCTGGAGGCTCATAATGTCTACAGGAGGGAGCTACACATGCTTCACCTTAAAATGACGAGATTCCTAAACTGGGTAGTAGAGGTATAGAATGTCTGCCCCTTCGCCATGGCCTTTCCCCTGGGCTTTACCTGCCAGAGGAGTGGCCAGGAGGCCTCCTGCCCTGTGGAAGGGCAGCCCCATCCCTACCTCTGACACCATTCTGAATCTGCCAGCAAACATACTGTCATCCCTTTAAAGCCAGGTACTGGCTCTCCTGGGGCCTCACTCCTCAGGTTTCTCGTTATTGACTATTAGAGCACCGTCTAGCAGACACCTCTCTAAGAGAGGGGAGAAGACAAAATACCTCATCAGATCCGAGGTTGCGCATGTTTTCTCACAATCCTAAGAAACTTTCTCTATGTGCTTAATAAAATAAAATATTTCCAGGTTATTCCAGGTACTTTAGAGCCAAATCTCAAAACAAGAGAATGGTAGGGGAATTTTTGTGGATATATAAATACATACACTCAGCAAAGGGGTATTCTAAAATGCCCCTAGTCACACAATAGCCGCTGCTACAGCTGGAGAATCCTCTGTAAATTAGTCTCTTTCATATCAATAGAGAGAAAAAAATCACACAAATACCACCGATTTCTGACATTACTGAACACACACATCACTAAAACAACGTTAAGGTTAAAACATAAAGGAAAGAACCAAAACTTAACACAGATCTGACAGAAAAAAAGAACAACTCTTAAGGCACGGGGTTGAAAAACATAGGAAACCTAAAGCAAGTTCTCCCATATTTTAATTAAAAGACCCTAATTCTGGCAAGACAATTTAGAGATCCCACAGAGGTAGTGATGGGAAGGGAATTCAGGTTTATAATTAATTTCCCTGGAGCTAGGAACAAGAAATTAAGCTTTCTTTCCTTTTTGGGGGGAAAGGCTGAAGACCAAAATGCAAATGCAGAGTCTAAAATTTCTGACATTAATACTGATATTGCTAAAGCAGCTTTATTTTAAAGCAGGCAATCATCCTAGACTCCAAATTTCTCCTGCTCAAATACCAACTCTGAAACACGTTCGGGGAGTGGGAACGGTTCTGTTCCTCTGTAATCAAAGCTGGTAATAAGTTCGTTGGAATCCAACAAATCAGAGAAGATCTAAACATTTCCCAACTTCCATGGTTGATCCAGAAAAATAAGCAAAACTGGGAAATGGTATTGTCCTTAATGCACTTTAATATTTATCTTCTAGCTACTTCAAGGTGTCCTGACCTACCTTTCACTCCATGATAACACCATTGGAGAGCAAAACCGATTTCCTTGTTCTGAGGTGCTAAAAGGTCTATTCCCCAAGTAAAACAACAATGGATTCTTTGAGTACAGAAAATCTACCCCTCTCCAGCTCTTCCCGTCTCCCTCTCTACTTCCTCCCCTCACAAACTCCTCAGAGGACAGGAGTACTAGCCTCCTAGAAAGAGCTATAACCACACAATCCCCTCCCAAAGGCGGAACCTGACTGTGCTTAGAGGGGGCTGCCCTCAATCATGAGCTCTCCTAGAGTGAGTGCCGGGCCTGGATATCTTCTGTAGAGTTACCCTCCAACACCATTACCAAGAGATTCCGTTCCAAAAACAATTTATGTATATATCTATTTTTCAAAGGAACAAGCATATGAACTAATAACATAAACAGAAGACATCTGAAATGATACTTGGTCCCGCTAGTAAAGCCGAGGCTCTGAAATGGCGCCAAAGCAGCCTACTGTTAGCACCTGGTTCCCAAAGGGAACAGAGGAAAACACCACAGACAGGGACAGGGTGATCCGCGAACAGATCCCACACTCTCATCCTCACCCTTCCTGGGGCCCTCCACTGCCGTTCTTCCACCGTCCCCAACAGCCCTGAGTAACCCCCCTCATCCGGGAAGTACATTGTCCTCAGGTCGGTGGAGGAAATCTAGCTAAGGTGGCCAGTAGCCAAGGCCAATTTCAAAGCTGATATATTTTTTTGCCTATAAACTTCTAATAGCCAATTGTGGTTTGTTAAATTTGGTTTAAGGAGTTATGTTTTCAGTCTATTTTGAGCCCAAAATGATTCTGCACCTCTGGAAAACTGCAGCAAATTACTTTGCTAATCAAGGTAAATGGAGCCATGTTAACTGTCAAGTTTTTTTCCAAATTAAAAATGCATGTTTTCCCATGATCACTATAAAGAAAACGCATTCTAAATAGTCGTTCAAATTGTTTACTTGGCACATCTCCCTCTGGTTTCCTTCTTCTAATTTACAACAAAGCAAGCAAGTCTAGAATGCCGCGGGCTAAATTTCAAAGGCAATATCCTCTTGTAATGTACCCTCCTCCAACTCCTCTATCTCCATCCATGTTAATTTCATTTGAGAACGTTCCGCGCCCACACTAAGAAAACTCCGCAATGCAACACTTCCCAAAGCCTCTGGACAGAAGGAAGCAAGGGAGCAGGAGACGGGCGAAAAGGAGACCGGTATCTGGGCAGAATCTTTGGTTCAGCGCGCCATGGCCCTGGTGGATCTCATTCCCCTTGCCAACATGCACTGGGTACCTGGGAGGCAGAGCTCTGTACCAGGCCACGCTCTGGAAAACGGGGCAGGGTCCTCACCCCAAAGCAAACCGAAACTGGGCCAAGCAAGAGCCTCAGGATTCATCTCTCGCTTTTCCCCCCTTTCTTTTTCTTTTTGCATTTGAGAGGCTAACATCTAAACCCCACAGAAAGGCACATGTGTCCCAGATGATAGTGATAAAGTAAAACAGAATTTCATAAAATTACCGAGCTTGAGCTTTGTGTTACATAAAGATTATGTCTGAAAGCAAGTTGTTCTGACAACAGACTAGCCTCCTGTTTGCGATTTGACAAAACCCAGCCAGAGTGGAGTTTGGTCTCCGGACCAGACTGTTTCCTGACCCCGGAGCCTCTTCCGGGCCGCTTTCCAGCACACTGTGGAAGCACAGCCTGGAGACGGTCTGGTCTTACACACACTCCTCCCACATAAACAAGTTTCTTTCCTTCCTGGTTTTGAAAACTCCCTTGTAATTTTTTAGGCATCTGAGCTGCGACCTGCAATGATGTCAGTTTGCTAGGCAATTGCGTGTTTCTGGTCAAAGTACCTCATAACAGTTGGGAGAGCCTGTTCTTTGGCAGTGATTTCCTTCTGTAGTGCCCAAAGCTGGCTTCCTCGCTTTCTCCCTCCCGCCCCACAATTAGTTTTCTTCTACCACAGATATACATCATAAACTCAAGGCAAATTTTCAGGTCACTTGATGGTACAATTATTAAGGCTCTGGAATGTTACTGTAAAAATCTTTTGACAGAAAGTCATTATTTAAGAATCCACAACATCCAGCATTCATTTACTACTACTCTTACAGGAATGACAGTGAGCTGAATAAATTGGTCCTTTTTCTTTTGGCCCCTCAGAAAAAATTGTCCCCTAAATGTGGCCATGAATTTTCCAGTTGCATAGAGAGCTTTCCTGAGCCACAGTATTGTGCCCTGCTATAGTTCTCTACTTAAGGCCATTCTTAATTTTTAGACCATGTTTGTCCCTGGTATTTTTTTTTATAAGGTGAAAAAGGTGGACATAGTGCAAGTTGTGGCTCTTGCATGTTAAGATGAAACGGTTTCCATGGAAACTCCAGGATGAGGCTCCATGGTCTCTGGTGCCCTGGTCATTTGTGTTCCTCTCCCTTCTACTTCCCCTTCTGTGACTTCTACAGCATCTACCTCAGCCACCTCTTCAATCATGGCGAGATCAACTCCATTGGGCTGCTGCCGGGCCATGGCCTCGAGCTTGAGGCGGTACTGTTCTGCCTCTCGCTCCTTCTGGAGGAGCTGGTGTCGATATTCCTGCGCTTTGCGATTGGCCTCCTGGAGCTGCTGCTGCAGTAGTGCTCGCTCACTGCCTCCCTGGAAAAATAAACCAGGTCACCACCAGGTAGGAATTCCTGATCACAGATCGTCCAATGAGCAGACACAAAGGAGCCGGGTGCAGGCCTGCAAAGTTATGGCTTTTGATCCTTTCCCTTATCTTCTCTCCACCACTGCTAAAATCATTACCTTACTTTCCTCCACCCTGTTTGTCATCTCTTCCAGCTTTGGTTTCTTTGACAGTGGCAATCTTTCTGCTGCTTCTTTTTCTTCTTCAATTACAGTCTCCTCTGCAACCTGACCAGCAGGTACAGTTAGAACTGAAAGCCAAAAGACACCAGTTGCAGGCAATGAATACAATGTGAAACAAAGAGATTTTGTTTGCGCTTAGTTAAAAAAAAATTGAAATATGTTCTCCAATCTTATTTTTCATCTCTCTTTGGACTTCAAAAGGAGCCCTGGTGATGCTTATGGGCTGCACTGCTAACCATAAGGTCGTGGTTCAAAACCCTCTAGCAACTTTGAAAGAGAAAGATCTGCTGTTATAGAGATTTACAGCCTTGGAAATCCTATATAGGATCACTGTAAGTCAGAAGCAACTCAAAAGCAGTGAGTTTTGATTTTGGTTAGATTTTAGCATTGAGAAACAAAGAATGGGAGAAGCACTAAGAAGGCACCCTAGGAACGCATTGACCACTAACCACAAAGTCTGTGCTTCAAATCCACCAGCCGCTCTGCAGGAGAAAGATGAGGCTTTCTGCTCTGGTAAGGATTTACAGCCTTGGAAATCCCAGGGGTTCTACTCTGTTCTATACTAATGACTTGATGTGTGCAAGTGGGTGAGTGAACAAGGCTTCAGAAAGGAAAGGTATTGGTTTGCAGGTGTGGAAGCTTTATAGTAAGCCTTATATCAGAGGTTCTTACAAGAGATGTCTGACTCTGAATCTGCAGCTGTAATTAATTAGTCTTATCGAATCTGTAGGAATGCAGCCCTGGTAGTGCTGCCAGGTAAGCACTGCAAGGTTGGTGGTTCAAATCCACCAGCCACAAAGCTAAGGCGCTCTGCTCCTGTAGAGATTTACAGATTTACTGTAAATTACAGATTTACAGAACCCTACATAGGGTTGCTATAAGTTGGAACTGACCCAATGGCAGAGATGTACTTTGTCTTTGCCCTGCAGGAATAACATATCTTAAGGTCTGGAGTCTTATTATGTAAGTGTGGTATTTACATAACTTCATGTCAACTTAAAGATATAACAAAAGTGTAGGGGTGGAATCTAGCTTGTCAACAGGTCACAACCTGGTGGTGACTCCTTGTGGCATGACCTTCTCATAAGGAGGGTCCTGGGAACCCCCCACCCCCTCTGCCTTCACATTCCTGCTGGCTGACCCTGGCTGGAGCAAGCCCTGTGATGAGACCATTGCCTTTCGATCCACATGACTTTGTAGCCACCGGCCGCGATCCTCCTGCATTCTGCATCACTGCCTGTGGCTTCATGAGTCTGGAGAGGGACTTGTGGACTCATGTCAGACTTCATCTGGACTGGGCTGGGATGTGTGCTTGCTATATGTTTACTTCTTGATAGAAAGCTCTTTCTGACACATACACAAGTGTCACTGGATTTGTTTCTCTAGTCAACCCGGCCTAACACAGTAAGATTTTTGAGTAAAAGTATTTTTAGATACATTAACTGTACCTAATAAGTTGTTTCTCTTTTCAAAGATGAATGAGACAAATGTCAATACATACACACATGAAAACAACACATACAAGATATACTACATACCCATCAGAATGGCTGAAATGAAAAATGATAATAATTGCCAAATGCTGATGAAGATAAAAGAAATTGGATAGCTTAAACATTACTGGTAGGAATGTAAAATGGTACATACAGTACTGTGTTTCCAAACTAAAAAATAGTTTGACAGTTTCTATTGATCATTTATCTCAGAAAATTGAGAACTTACAGTTTTTATTGAAATCTATTCATAAAGACCTATACCCAACTATTCACAGCAAATTTATGAGAAACAGGCAAAAAACCTGGAAACGACTCAAACATTTGTCCATGTTTAAATAACTCTAGTACAGCCATACTTTGGGATAATACTCAGCAATAAGAAGGAATGAACTATTGATACACAACTCTAATATATCTTACCAGGATTATGTGGTTTTAAAAAGTCAGTATCAAAAGGTCACAGTATGATTCCATTTATATAATATCCTTGTAGTTTCAAAATACTGAGATGCAGGATAGATTATATTAGTGGTTCAAGGGTTAGGAATGGGATGGGAAGAAAGGTAGCATTTGGGATCTTTGTGACAAACTATTCTGTATCTGTACTCTGGTGGTATGCATTACAAGTCTACACACAGACAGGGGTCTCCTAAAAGTTTGTGGGAAAATGGAACAAAAAGATAAGTGAATTTACTCATGAACCTTTTGAAATCTCCTTTTATTAAATCACATAGAACTAAGAACGTGCATACACAAATAAGTACATATAAAACTGGAAAATTCAGTTGGGCTGATGGATTTTATAAATGACTATTTCCCAGTTGTGGTATTATATACTATAGCTATGCAAAATTTCAACACTGGAAGAAAATGGTGATGGATATATGAGTTATCTTTGTATTGTTTCTCACAGTTATACATGAATCTATAGTTAGAAAGGTTAAAAATAAATATTAGGTTTTACTACACTTGATCTTAGCCAAAAGGCCGAGAAGCTTTGAAATATTAGGTTTTAAGATCATGATTTTTCTAGAACAGAGAAACTTACCTAGTTGAATGGTTGAGCTGATTTTTTTTATTTTAATCATTTTATTGGGGACTCTTACAGCTCTTTTTTAATCATTTTATTTGGGGCTCATACAACTCTTATCACAATCCATACATACATCAGTTGTGTAAAGCACATCTGTACATTCATTGCCCTCATCATTCTCAAAACATTTGCACTCCACCTAGGCCCCTGGCATCAGCTCATTTTTCCCCTCCCTCTCCGTTCCCCCTCCCTCATGAACCCTTGATAATTTATAAATTATTATTTTGTCATATCTTGCACTGTCCAACGGTCTCACCTCTCCCACTTTTCTATTGTCCGTCCCCCAGGGAGGAGGTTATATGTAGATCCTTGTAATCGGTTCCCCCTTTCCAACCCACCCTTCCTCCACCTTCCCAGTATTGCTACTCACACCTCTGGTCCTGAAGGGATCATCTGCCCTGGATTCCCTGTATTTCCAGTTCCTATCTGTACCAGTGTACATCCTCTGGTCTAGCCAGATTTGTAAGGTAGAATTGGGATCATGATAGTGGGGGAGGAGGAAGCATTTAGGAACTAGAGGAAAGTTGTATGTTCTTTGTTGATATATCACACGATGGCTGGCTCGTCTCCTCCCCAAGACCCTTCTGTAAGGGGATCTCCAGTGGCCTACAAATAGGCTTTGGGTCTCCAGAGTTGATTTTTTTAAAAGTTTTACTGGCATATAACTCACATATCATGCAATTCAATAGTTCAATCACATCAACAAGAGTGGTGGAGCTGATTTAAAGACTAGTGTGTAGTCCTTAAATAATCATCTACTGGTGACAGTGGAAAGCAGCTTAGATATATGTTGAATAAAGATTGGAGCTTAATCGCAAGGTTGGATGTATAGCTCCCCGCCTCCAATGTGAAGGGGACAAATAACAGAAATGTGGGTGAAGGGAGACAACGGACAGTGTAAGATCTGAAATAACAATAATATATAATTGATCAAGTATTCACAAGGGTGGGAGGGCTAAAAAGAGAAATATATACCAAGATCTCAAGTAGAAAATGTTTTGGAAATGATTATGGCAACATATGTACAAATATGCTTGATACAATTGGATGTATGGAATGTTATAAGAGCTCCCAATAAAATGTTTAAAAAAAAAAAAAAGAATTGGAGCTTAGTCTGGGATTTAAAATCTGCTGTAGATAATTCAGGAAATCTGTTTTTCCAGTTTGGGATTTGGTTAAACACATTTGTAACAGTAGTTCATCTAGGCAAAACCTCAATTATCCTTTTTCTCCTAAGCAACTCGGCGCTCACTTATTTTTCATTTATAAACAAAGTCTTTCATGTGCCTCGTGAGCCCTCTGCAAGCACGTTCACAAAAATACCAATAGTTTTCATATCAAGAAAACTTAAAGAGAGAGAGAAAGAAAGCAAAGCTGACCAATGGGTTCCATGGTGAAGGAGGAAGACTTTTAGCTTAAGGGCACTGACTTTATGTTGGTGGAAAAGAACAGCAATAATGATTGCACACAACGAAAAGTATAAACAACGGCACTGAATTATACATGTAAAAATTGTTGAAGAAAATGTTTAAAAATTGTGGTAATGATTGTACAACTCTTTGATATGAGTGAACTTTTGAACTGTCTGATATGTGGATGAAATGCCAATAAAACTGTTAAAAATACCAGTATTTTTTTTAAGTAGTATTTCTAGAGAGAACTCATAAGAATTATACTGCCAATGCTTAGATTAAAAAGATTTAATTCCTATTCTCTTTTCCCATACAGCAGATATGAGGGGGGTAACCTCCCAAAAAAACCAACAATGGGAAAAAGCCCCACTGATGGAGCCTTCGTAGTAGTTTCCTGCCAGGTGAGCATGGAGCAACTCGCTCGGAGTTAGTGCACCCAGAGGTGTCACCTGGGAAGTTTCTCTCTGGTTATGGTGAACTTTTTCATAAAAGCAGTTTCACTTGAACCTCATTTTTTGTGATGGCTGATTTAAGAGAACAGCTTGCAGCTGTGAAATTTTGCTTCCTGCTCGGGGAAAAATGCTGCAGAAACTGTTGTGATGTTGAACACAGCTTACAAGGACAGCGCTATGGGAAAAACTCAAGTGAATGAGTGGTTTTCTCGTTTCAAAAATGATGAAATGTCGAATCATGACAAACCTTGTTCTGGATGTACATCAATTTCCTTATATGCAGAAGATGTCAACTTGTAGTGCATTTGGAGTTGGTCAGACTGTTGATAAAGCTTTCTATTTAGAGCAATGGTTCTCAACCTGTGGGTCATGACCCCTTTGGGGGGTCGAATAACCCTTCACAGGGGCCGCCTGATTCAGAACAGTAGCGAAATTACAGTTATGAAGTAGCAACGAAAATAATTTTATGTTTGGGGGGGGGTGTCACACAACATGAGGAACTGTATTAAAGGGTCATGGCATTAGGAAGGTTGATAACCATTGATTTAGAGGTTCTGAAAAGATAGCATAACTGTGTACAACCAAAAATGTCCTGATTTGTGGCAGACGGGGTGGTGGAGTAGATGGTTTTGCCCCCATACAATGCACCTGCTCATGCAGTAATCTCAGTGCACCAGTTTTTGGCAAAAAACAGCATGCCTCTTTTGCCCCATGCACCTTACTTCCCTGACCTTGTTCCATACGACTTCTTTTTGTTTCCTAGAATGAAGAGGAACAGAAAGGACAGCAATTTGATGACATAGAAAAGATGAAGAAAAAAAAAAGAGGGAGGTGCTGTCAGCCATCCAAACAGAGTTTGAAAAATGTTTCCAAGAATGGAATCGCAGATTTGACAAATGTATTAAGTGTAATGGAGAGTATTTTGAAGGTGATAAGGTTGTTTTGTAAAAATATTTACGTAGCTTTGAAAAAAAATCTTTTTGGGGGGAGGAGGAGGGTACCCTTTATATTCATCTCCTCAAATAATTTAAAAATTGTAAACAAACTCATAATCATTTTGACCAAGCCAACAATTGGTGATACAATGGTAATTATACCAATCCTTCTCTTTTCAATTGGAGATTTATTGGAGATTTTTAGGGAATAAAGTTAAGACAGAACGGTTTTTCTGCTTAAATTTTTTTACTTAGTTTTTTTTTTTTACTTCTTATTTAGTGTGAAGTCATCTTAATAGTTAATTTTTTAAATAACATATTCACATGGTTCAAAAATTAAAAACTATAAACATATTCAGTGAAATCTTCCACTCCCAGCTGTCCCCACCCTCCAGGAAATAACCTATGTTCATTTTATTGTATGTTCTGCATTTGGCCTACTGCCCCCTTTCCAGGAAAAAAAAAATTACTAGAGTCCCCTTGGCAATGAAAAACTTTTACACTACAGTCCATAATCCAAGATAAAATGTCACTGTCTGCTTTGTAATCACACCCAAGATCATTCCTGTGGCCCCCCCAGGGCGGTATCATCCACCTTGGGAAACAAGATATAAGTCTATGTAGTACAAGATGCACACTGCTCTTGTACTGTGCTAGCTTGCTCTTGTCACATAACAATATATTTTGTCAGCTGAACCATGTTGGGAGACAAGTAGCTTCCTTGTTCTGTTTTCCTTTTGACTGTGTAGCTGCAGAGTATTCCACTGTATCAAGGTATCATCATCTATTTGTCCACTCGCCTACTGACATTTACGTGGATTCTTTTTTACCCTTTGGCGGTTTCATTAGCCAAGTAGCTAGTGAGTGGTATAGATGTCATTTCTCTGGGTGTGAGTATAAACTCCTAGGGGAAAAAGGACTTGTTAGCCATGGGGTATGTGCATTTTTAATCCAGAGAGATACTGCCAGTTTGCTCTTTAGTGGGCGCATTAATTTACGCTCTCACCAGTGATACAGGAGGGTGCCTATTGCCCAACATGCTCAACAAGATCATGTTGAGAATGGTGTCTCAAGGTGGATTTCATTTGCATTTCTTTTGTTATGGATAAGTAGACTGAGCACATTTTTATATTTTTTAAGAGCCATCAGTATTTTCTGTGGACTGTTGGTTCCTCTTACTTATTCTTTTTCTACCAGATTATTGGTTTTAATTCTCAGATTTTATATGTACGAGAGAAATTAACCTTTGCCAGCCTGGCTTCTTTTTCTTTTTCAGGGTTTCTTTGCCCTATCTTAGACCTGGTATTTTCCCACCACCACTATTTGCTTTCGTTCTAATGAATATCGAGTGTCTAAGTGATTGAATACACGATTGCCTCAGTGGGCCCTCACCTTGCTGCCCATCCTGCACAGTCACAATCAACGGCTGCCCAATGCCTGCAGTAGGGAGTGCAGTTTGTAGATTACCCAGAGGGACTCCATCCGTCACTATGGTGATGACTCTTTGGCCTCCACTTCCCACCACTTGCTGGATTGATGAATCAACAGAATTTCCTTCTAAGATTTCCTCTGAATTGACTAGAGATAACAAAAATAAAATTAAAATTTTAACAACAAAATCATGGATACAAAAATTTTAGCCTCCATGAAACTGACAACATTGAGGGACAGAGGAAAACTTGTCAACAGCTTGCAAAAATCAAGCTCTTGTGTACAAAGCTACGTCGGAGGCGAAATGAAAATAGGGGCTGCATGAGAACAGTATCTTCTAAAATGTCCTTAGTGAGATGTTACTAGCCTGCACTAAAAACGGATTGTATGTACAAAAGAGCTTTCCAATATTGTTGTACGTATGCTTAAAACTTGTTTTGTAGGAAACATCAGAGACCTTTACAGACTAATGAGCACTGATTCTCCAGAGAAGGTTGATTGTGTTGAATTTGTCCCAAACATACTTGATCTTAGAACCTGTTTTTTTTTGGGGGGAAGGATTATTAAAGCCTAAGTAAGTCTGAGGAACTTAAGGAAAAAGTTAGAATCGCTTTATTTCTAAAGGAAAATGGAGACAGTAGTGAGTTGATAAGATATCATGTCTAAGTAGTCAAAGCACTGAAGAAGTTTTAATAGGCAAAAAAAGGCAGATGGCTTCTCACATCCAATATCCACAATAATAGTGGCAGCTGAGAGCTACCTTCTAAGTGTTTTACATGTACGATGTTGAATCATGATTTTCCATTTGGTTAGTCAATAAAAACCCTAGTAAACTAAGTATGATTAGGACAAAGAGCCCTGATGGGGCAGTGGTTAGGGGCATGGCTGCTAAACCCACCAGCTACCTGGACAAAAGCTGTGTCAGTCTACTTCTGTCACGATCAGTCTCAGAAACCCTGCAGGCAGTTCCACTCTGTTCTCACTTGGTCAGAATGAGTCACAATTGACCCGATGACAACGGGACAGTAGGGGAAATAGTGCCAACCACTATGAAATTCCTCTCTCCAAAGAGGAGGTAAGACGTTGCCCTAATCATGGGATTTGGACTATCCATATCAGATACATTCAGGTAGTGCAATGGAAAGAGCATTCACACTGAAAACTACTATAGCTTAAAGGTTCTAGATAGAACATCTAATTTAATCCTCATGCTAGAGATGAAGAAAATGAGACCTGGAGAAATTCATTGATTTATCCAAGATCGAAAACCAAACAAGAGGACAGTAAGGACAAATTTAATCCATTCTCCCTTCTTCCTCTGCCATCTTGTCCACTCCTTCTCATCTGAGTGGACATATTTTTTTTAACAGCTGTACTGGCCCTTCATGCACATGTCATACAATTCAGTAATTCAGTTACATCAAGAAGAGTCACAGTCATCACCACAATTCTAGGACATTTTCTTCCGTGCACTCACTGTTAGTCATGTAATTATTTTTAAAATCATGGCAAAAACATACACAACGAAACATTCTCTGATCCAACGACTTCTACATGTAGAATTCAGTGCCATTGATTATATTCTTCGTGATGTACACCATTATTAACATCCTTTTCAAAACTGTTCCACCACCATTAACATAAAGTCAATGCCCCCTAAGCAAAAAGTCTTCCTCCTTCACCCATGGTAACCATTGGTCAGTTTTTTTAGAAAGTAGTTTTCTAGATATAGTATTCACCTATCATACATTATTCCATAGTTTAGTCTCTTTTTAAAAAAGCTGTATATAGATCATCACAATCCATTCTAATGCTCCCTCTCCCTGAGCAGGGAAAGCTTTCTGAAACACTCAGATGGGAACCGTGTTCTCTCCACCCAAACGTACCTGCAGAGAGAAATCAGGAACGGCTGCCTTTAGTGGTGATGGAGTGGACTCCCAGAGGGCTTCCGAAAGATTCCCGAGTGACTAGTGAGCCTATGTGAAGTCTGCCCCAGACACCACTCACTCCAGCTAAGTGACTTGAAACCTTTTGTTTTAAATATCAGCAAAGCACGACACAGCATTCACAACTGCTCAACTCCGTTGGAAATGTCAAGACAACACCTCTGGTGCAAACAAATGCCAGCCGACCTGAAGTACACTGGACATAACAACGCAAAGGGGTGGGGCAGGCCCTCACATCTTGACCCTGGAGGACATCTTAGCTGCTATTTTGAATCATTCTATGTTAGCACCAGTCAAAACACAGCCTCGATGTCTCCCCAAAACCTGCTAAGATAAGACTAAATATTTCAATCTGAAGCAACTGGAGTCAGGGCAAACAAATGTGAAACTGCAAAAATATGAAGGAGTAACTCAGTCATTCTCTGGTATTATTCAGCTGTCTGATAATAGCACTTACAAATTTTCTTTCTGATGTGCAATGTTTCTAAATCGCTGGGTGCCTCTAATTAACTACAATTCTTTCCTATTTCATGCAAACTTAGTCTGCCAGAGATTTTTTAAAAAGGAAAGAGGGCAATGGTGATTCACCTAGCAGATATCCCTTACCTACCTGTGGCTCTGGGTGAGTTGGAGAGGGGGGCTGATGCCTCAGCAAGAGCTGCAAGAGTGGCCAGCACTGAGGTGGAAGAATTTGAGAACTGTACTGTTGAGGCATGGGGGTGACCTAGTTCAGTAAAAAAGGCAAGTGAGGTCCATCAGAGAGGAATAGAAATGAACTAAATACGGTTTATTCAACCCAAACCCCAACTTTATCCCTCTAAAATGTCCTTAATCCTGCCTTTTAATCTAAACGGGTACAGACCACTTATCAGTGTTAAATCTCTTTTAAGGTTTACGAAGTTTTTGTCTTAAAGGAGATGAAATCCATATGCTTGACAAAGTGCCACTACACCCATCCACTCCTTCTCTTGACACTGCTAATGCTGAGCACTAGCAGCTACGACAGGCGGGCCGGGTCGCCCTCCCTCCCGAGGCTGGCTGTGCAGAGCTCTCCTTGGCGCCCTCCAAGTTAAGCACAGGGAGGGGCTAGGTCCTGCTTCTTCTTGAGCTGCATCGCTCTGGAGGCCTAACGTCTAGTGCATGCAAAGGCGAAAATCTCAAGTTTCCTACGTTGCGTTTCAAAGACAGTATAATTTCAAGAGCAAAAATAACGACTGTGCACTTCAGTTCTGTCATGAAGTACTTTACCTTTCACTTTGTGTCAGTGTGCTAGTCTTACAATGTAAGTTCCAACGGGAAGTGTATTTGCTCTGGCAACAGGCATGCTCAGCTCTATGACTCAAAAACACTTATAATAAGGTGTGCACGAATCTCTAACTTTTATGACTTACGTTTCCGTATGTCTTTTACTATAATTTCAGAGACACTTCCTTTACTAGTTACTATTTAAGCGTTATTTCCTTTCAGTTCCGGATTTACCCTTCTTTGTCCGCTGTGGTCATTCTGGAGCTGGACCTCATAAACACTTCTGTTGTTAGCTGGCATGTGATTAAGCCTGGTCAGTATAAAAAGCATGACTGCTGTCTACATCTGATATTCCCACTGTTTGTTATAGAGTTCTCTTCACGTAGTTCATCCATTGTTACTAGCTGAGATCTTCTATAAATGTGTAAAGTATATACTGAGAAATTATATGTGTATAGTTACATACATACATAACTTTGTTTTTTATAATAAATAATTATACATTTATGTAGATGTGATTTCTAAATCTTCTACATCTATAACTTTAACATGTATATATAAATAAGTTACTAACTAGTAACAGCGGACTATATAAATGGCTGTGAAATTTCATCTCCTGACTGAACTCTGACTGATAAACTTACCTTCTCTTTAACTGTACTCTCAACTCTGCAGTTTTCCCACATCTATGCTTAAAGAGTCTCTCTTTCTTCTATCAAGAAGTTCACTGTAAAACACTTAGGGAAACTTCTATTTAATACTCTTTATAGTGAACCCTTCCACAAAGCAAAGACTCCTTTTTCTGGTATGACTAATATAGGTAGTCTATTTTTAAATTTAAATTTCATAAGGTATTTATATAGTACTCCTTACAGCTCCAAATCAGTTTAATCAGATCTCTGGATAATGACTGTGGAGTGGAATGAGGGTAGAGATAGCCCCATTTTATTCTAATTCTCTCACAAAATCCCCAGGGAACAAATGGTGTGAGTGGAACACAGAGATTGACTTTCAGAAGGAGACCATCAAACGGCCCCAGTGCAGAGCAGGATCCAGCTACACCATGTTCTCTCGTGTTCCTGCTTGGTGCATGCTCTTCTAAGCACTCAGTCTGTCACACCAAATGCTGACAAGAAGCCACAACCCTCTCCTCAAATGAAACAAACAAGGGACAGGCAATCCTCTGATATGTCCCTGATGTAGGTTGCAATCTGGATTTGGGTGGTTTTGTTGTTGTTGTTTATACATCACTTGCAATAAAAAAACAAAGCTGCTGTAATTTAAGTACAAGCAGGTTAAGCATCAGGTAGGAGGATGGGTAGTGGGTAAGTTTTAAGAGAAAGGCATTGCATGTGCTTTAGCATTTTACAATTCCAATCTAAGGGTGCTTTCTCTGATTCAAACATGATCACTTAATAATTTCCATTCAACAACAAAAGGAAGGTTTGTGAAACATTAGGTTTTATACTGACATACAAACAGGCACCCTGGTGGTGCAGAGGAAAAAGAGCTTGCTTTCCTCTCTAACGATTAGGCATTGGGTGGGCCACGAAGCTAGAGGGGCAGGGTAGTGGAGTAGAGCTGCCTTCATGATTAGGATGACATTAGGGAGATCAGCTGTTGCCAACATGACAGGAGAGAAAGAAGAACAGGTCTGCCAGAAAAGCAATATGACAAGCACGATACTGGTGCATGGGAACCAGAGCAAAAGATTCTCTACCCCGACTATGGCCTGCTTTGCTGAGTCGTCCAGATTAGGGTCTGGAGAATTTCAGGAACTATACTAAAGACCAACTCTAGCCTCCCCACAGAAGAATTTATTTCAGAGGACAGCACTGAATCTGCAGCTCCAGGAGAGGGGCATATCTGATCGGAGCACATGGGAGCAGATGAAGGGGGAGGAGGAGAGTGGAGCACATCCTGGCCCACCAAGCCATGAGGACGATATTCCCAACTAGAGCAGCCAGTCCACAGAGACGACCACATGGCCGGTCCCACTATGAGACATGACACCCCTCACTGACCCATAGCCCTACAAGGGACAACACCTGAGACCCAGTGTGGGAAATGCCCCCAATCTGATCCCTAAAGGTCAACAAACAATCCTTAAACTAACTTCAAGCTTTTCTTTCTCATTGAGTTTTGATTTTTGTTTTTGTGTGTCATTGCTTTGTTGTTGTGGTGGTGGTTTCATTGTATATTGTCGCTTGGTTTTGCTCTGTCTTGTTTTTGTGCATGTTATTATCTCCGCAGGTCTGTCTAAATAAGATAGGCTGGATGAACAATCTG